GGTTAATTGTAATGAACGTAAAGCTAAGCAGTGAGTGGAAGATGCACTCAAAACGAAAAAGCAAAAAGGCTGACTGCTTGACATTGCATTTGTTGACGATAAAAGGCTGCAGACCAATAGTGCTATTTTTGATTACTGCGTTACAATGTTTCAGGAACAAAGTAAGGCGTTACAATACAAAACTGAATTGGAACTGTATGTATTGTGAAGCGCCATTAACAATGACAGTAAAATCGTCCTTGAATTTCTGCTGCTTTATCATGAATTTCCACAAAAATCTCAAAGATCTTTCTCAAATTTAACCTACTCTAAGTATTCTTTATTTTTTGTAGCTTTACTCCACTTCATGATTTATCTGGATTCTCCCGGTGGTGTTCTTCTTTTTCGCTGTAAGCTTGTTGTGCGACCTTCACCATCGTCTGGTGAACCCTTTCTCGTCGAGGCAAGCGATTACGGTGACAAAACCGGAAGGTGATACCACCGAAGTTGTAAAGATGCTTAAGTGTGCTTATAAAAGCCTACCGTCTGTTTTGTGAGACTCGATGCGAGGTTACCTCGCACTTGAAGTTTTTAACCTTTTCCCTCATAGACTTTGTATAGCATTTCAATGTTGTGTGTAAGTGCGAGTTAAGGCGGTGTATACTTGTAGTTGAATTGGCTCTGTAGTATTCTTCACTCAAGAATTACCTATCATTGCAAATCAGCTATAGGTAGGCATGAGACTTTATATAGTTTTGGAGATGCCGATATTCGAGAGAAAAAATTTCCCTGTTCAACGTCAACGAAATTTGCGCCCAAGAAATGACCAAATTAGGCATTGCAAAGTTCGGCTCCCTATCTTGATCTTTCTCATGCACAGATAATGTCTGCACCATAGGGAAAACTATAAGGCGCCAACTTCATTCCTATCTAAAGATTTACTTAGAATATCTAATTTGCAGACAATGTACATGAAAAATAGCGCATAAGTGCACTCCGCCAAAGCCGTGTGATATGAAGAACAAACTAATTGCCAGTCATCTTTTCGCCCTCCTATGTCGAAGAACTTGGTAAAGCCAAGTTTCTATGGCTAGATATTCTCAACTTCTCTTATTTAGGTAAAAGTTGACAAAGGTGTTAAAATCGCCAAACATAGGGCTTTCAAGTGCGATGGCGTAAATAGAGTTTCCTCGTTCCTTTGAGCAATTACATACCAGTTTTCGGGTGTGCGTTCGTTGATCCCATATAACCTCAATGAACTCTATTTTTGTATCAACCGCGTTTTGGCAGTTGTATAATATACAGTTCGTTTCTTTTTTTCAAAAACCAGGCGTCACCTCTTGACTCCGAGAGTTTCTAAAGTTTCAATAAAAGTTACATGTTCATCTCGATAACAATGGCCAGCCATAGAGTATTACAATTTAATTTCACTTGTGCAATAGCCCGATTCACAAATTTTATTCTATTTCAAAAAACTATTAGGTCGTTTCTCAAGTTCATAGAGTTCTCATTCTCGTTCTCATCAACTAAGGAGCGGTTGATTTGCGGTGAGATGCCTACATCATTGGGAAGAGCTAATCATGCCCTTTAAAGTTATTCAATCATCCTCATGAAAAGTTCTGCTTTCTAGCTTCCAAAGAAAAATTTTTCAAGAGGCAAAAAGAAGATTTTCGGCACTTGCTCTTTTATTTCTTAAAGCATTTTTCGCAAATTTTTCAATCATTCGATCATGACAGATGGCGTCTTTTCCATGATATGAGACAAAAAGGAGTGGATTGCCAAAAAAATATCAAGAATTTACAATGTGACTCTTGAACACGACTTTTAGCAGGATGGGCAGGAGCTTCTGTTTTAAAAATTGCTAAGCAAGAACGAGACGGCTGCACCGTCTAAGTGAATTGCTGCTGTAGAAAAGGCCCGATAAACAGGTCCAGTGAGCTTTCCTGCGCAACAAAACTTGGCGCCCTATGGCAACCGTGTCATAGCTGTCCTGCAAGATCTGACGGAAAGGATTTTGAAACGTTCTCAGGCGCTGGTTAGACAACTTTTTGGGACCAGGCCCGCTGAGTTCTCAAAAAATGGAACTGAAAATCTGACGGTGTTGTGGCATAAAGTGGTGCACAAGAACGGGACATACACTATCAACTGAATTTTGCCAAAACTTTGTCATTTCGTTGGTTTATAAAAACTCTACGAACTTATGAAACGACCTGATACAGAAAGGCCGTCTGATGGTAACAGGTTCGTGTAATGCAGCCGCCCTAAGCCAACGTTTTTGGCTCTTCTTACGCAAAAGCGTAGATATATAAACGTTTTGTTTAGAATTTTTTAGATGTACTATAGGAAAGTTGGGCATGGTGAAGATAGTCTAGGCATCAGTACCATATGATTGATTGGTATGAATGTATGCAAATTTAGTTATTACGTCTCTTGTTGATGCCTTCAGAAGGCGAACATTTAGAAACATCGAGTCAGAGCAATCATGGCTAAGTCTCCTTTAATACGAGTCGCGTGGCGATGAGAACACTAAGATGGCGCAAAAGTTCTATCTCGCCTTCTCAAAATTCTGTGTCTTATTCTACACGGATTCCTTTGGTTGTGGTCTTATAAAAACGTATTTAATCACTACAATGGCATTATCATAAAGTAATCTAAAACCTCTCTTATCTTTAGAGCTGAGCGTGTTAGCACCTTTGTTCAGACATAGTTCACTGTCATGAAGTTTAGGTCTCTTCGCGAATATTCTCAAACTTTGACAAACTCGACTCTTCAGCGATCCAAACGTACCGTCAAGAGCCTCTCTCGTTTACCAGTCTGCTTAATTTAAGGCTAGCTAGCGAATTATTGGAGCTCGGAAAGGGACCCACTTCAACTCCATCGCACAGCTAAAAGGCGTAAGCCTGCATTGTGGCTCCTCACTCAATTTCTTCGACATATTCGGTTGTAAATTGGCTTGCGTTGCAAGTTACTCAAGTGTAACCTAAGGAAATGGGCGATCGTCATCTCATCCTACGGACCTCAACTGAGTCGCCCAGTCTATGTCACTGACCAAGCATTGCTACGGGCCATTAACGGATGTCACTGAGTGTCATCCACTGAGTCAAAGGCAGCGTCCAGGCAAACCTGGACATACGGGTTTCTAAATGGAAAGTAATTTTGGGGCTTTAACTAAGACACTGCGCAAGCGGCAGCTCAAGTGGTGAACTCAAAGGTGAGATATTCGCCTTCAAACTGAATCCCGAGATCGTATTCGCATGGATTCATGGCGCGACACGCGTGGGTCCTCGCGCGAAACTGATGTGTCGCGCCATGAACCCATGCGAATACGATCACGGGGTCCAGTTTTGAGGCGAATATCTAACCTGTGAGCTCATCATTCGAGCTGTCGCTTGGGCAGCGTTTTAGTTAGGGCTCCAAGATTACCCTCCAAGTGAGATCCCCATAAGCCCAGATTTGCCTGGACGCTGCCTTCAGGCCTTTTTATGCGCGGCTGTCAGATTGCGCAATGACAAACGTAGATGGTAGTAGACCACTGCTAGTCAACAAACATCGACTTAGTATTCCTCTCGAAAATAAATGTTCAGCGATCATGCTTGCGCGAATCCTGTATGTCAGAATGATATATTCAACACATAGTCATACCCACCATGTGCCTCAATTTTGCGCCTTTTTAATGTCACCATCTCAAGGATTTTGCATGTTATTTATCATGGATTTTTAATGTTATTTAGCAGTAAATGCAGCGTCGTACCGTCCCATATACAGCTAAACATTTTAACTAAACCTGCTTTCACACAATCGCTTATGTTTTATAAGAACAAACGATGTATTGTTTTACTGCACGATCGTAGAGTATGTCAATGACTATCATCTGCAACTAATGCAGTTTAGTGGGCTCACTAACTAGAGGGGAAAGTGGTCAGTCATTTGCGATTCTGGTGCTAATCACTTCTTGAATGCAGTGTTTCGGCAAATTATCGTTTTCTAGTTTTTCATGTTTTCGGGTCCTCTTGCTATACAAACCCATATCTGGGCTTTGCAGTCCATGTAAACGGCAAAAATGAGCTTTTACGATGCCCAGATCCATCGCTGGAGATTACGTGTAAACGGCCGGGGTTCAGAATAAAGGGGGGGGGGGGGGGCGGGGTCCGAAAGATTTTCAGAGCGATTTTAGGTTTTCCAGACAAAATTTTTTGCTCCAGACTTCGCTGTTACCAGTTGGGGTCTACCGCTATAGCGCTGTAAAATCCCAGTACCCTTCATTTTGCCGGGAGGCTACCTTTAAGATGCAGACAGCTGATTACCCTTTACCCTCTTTCACCTTACAAAGGTTTGTATTTTGGTTGAATGTTGCTATTTTGAGTTTTCCTACTTTATCTCAGTGCAATCACGTCCCTTTCACTTTGCGGTGTCGTAAAGTGAAAGAGTTTTGGACCAACTATGCTATATCTTGATCTATTCTGCTCGTGAACTAGTGTGTCCAACAACTTGAGAGAAAGCCGATCTCCGCCATTCTATCATTGTTCCAGATCTCGAAAAAGCTATGCAACTTTGTAGACTTTAAGATGCAAATCTAATATTTGCAGAGAACGAGATATGTGAAATCTGCGGTCTTACCGTTTATTTAAGGAATGCTATAGGCTTGGAAAATAAGAAGGATAAAGAATATTACTATCACTAGTGATTTTTGACTCGTCAGATTCTCCGAATTATATAAAATTAGGATAAGGTCAATTTCCATCCTCCATTTTGAAAGATGTTTAGAGGAACGCTCTTAATGCCGAAATACGCTAACTATATATAGTTATGCCACAATCTTTGCTCGGCTGATCTCACAGTGAGAATCACGTGACTTGGTAGCAACTGTTTTCGTATTCAAATGTCAAATTAGATGACGCTCGGCAGATAAAATCTTTTCAACACTGACAACAAGCAGTTTCGTCACAATGTCCGGCACGAAACTACATAAGGCAACTTACAAAAACATTATCGTCATCTTACAGCTACCATAAGCGAGCGCTATGGTTCCAGGCGATACGCAAGCCCGAGCAAGGTAAGTACATTTATTAGACTTCAAAACATGATAATCTAAAATCCGTGCTGCCATAGACGCTACGCATAATCATCGGGAGAATCCTTTTGAACCAAATAATGCTACCGAAGGAATGCTTCGGCAAGATTCATTTTGTAACGTTGTTATAGAAGGTTACTTGATCCCAGATAAGCACCGTACAAAATCCGGATGTGAAGCGTGTGCTCTTAGACCAAGAAATTTGCCCTCAAAGCGACTCGCACAAGAAAGCTCCTCTTGGCTTCGCCAAGTTCGCTTTTTCGTGATTTGAACTCAAAAAAAAAACAATTTTTGAAAGCTAATTCACCTCCAAAACCCTATTCTTTTTTTATATATGTTCGAACATATTTCACTGTAATCTGTTCTGGAGCCACACGCCTAACTTTATATTGACGTAATTTTTATGCCAAGGAATGAAGCATGGTAAATCACCAGTCATCATCCAATGCGGACTGGAGTGGGAAGAAGTCTCATTTTCTTGTAAAGTGCACATAATATCTGTGACCAGCATGAGCAAATGTTTCTGCAAAATTGGGGTTTCTTATGATGGTACATGTATCAATACGACGAAAATCATACGAGATCGCCAGGTATTCAGGTTGCAAAGTAAATTGAAACAAGGGTATCATAGCTGAGTTTGAAGATTCGAAAAATGCCGAATAATGCGCTGCAAACAACTGCTAAAGGAATGCAAGTTGCGTTCCAGCCCAGAACCGCTCTTATACTCTTTTTTACTCGCCGTCTCAATCCACCATCTCAATAATTTATCTCGCTTTTTGCTTCAGTTCCGTGAGTTTTTACTAAGCCAGCGTATCCAAATTTCAAATCTCAGCGTGTTGCACGTGATCAGCGACTATAAATCCTGTAGACTGCAATCATCTCCATCTATCGTCTTATCTCTATCTGATTTTTCTCTTTTTTTGCGAGAATTTTTGCTATATAAGCCTGCAGCCCTTAAAGGGGTGTCATCTTTATCTTTTCCCACATCATCAAAACATCTTCATGCAGCTGAAGTTTCTTGTAGCCCAACTATCAGTAAATCAAAAGCACTTTGAACTGTATTCCGCAAATAGGTGTATAGTATTAAGTTCGTTTGTGTTGAATCAGTTCCTTGAAGAAGATTACTTTACACCGCAATCTTCACGTCTGTCACCTAGTTTTATAAGAGAATTTTTCATTTTTTAATATTGGCGAAGCAGTTCAATTTTTAAACTGCTTCACCAATACCAAAAATTTTTGTCACAATATCCGGTCCACTCAATGCGTGCATTCTGTATACTGAAAAGTTATTGGGATTGTAAACCTTCTCAAGCCACTTTTTATCTCGAATTTGTTTGTGTATTGTGTTACGAATAGAAATTTGTTACTTGTGAGAAGTTTTGCGCAATCGTCCAAGGGTTAGAATTGTTTACTTGCTCTTTGATTAACGTGTTCAATGTTGCATCGTCTGCACTTGGAAGTTGAATCCATAAGAGCCTTTCCTTTCAGACACCAACAAAAGACTCAAAGTACTAATGAAAAAAAGTCAAAGAAAAGGTTACAAGTTCACTCATCTAGATATAGAGTAGGAGGGGAATCGAAGGACCACAGTGTATGCAAGACTATGTCTTAGTTCATTCTAGGTCTGCCATCCTGATCTGACCTCATATCCGCGTAGAGATCGGCAAGGCGCAGTTCTTTCGTAATAGCAATACAATCCTCACTCATTTTTGATGTTTGGCGTCTATCCAAAATACCTCTACGTTTTGTGTATCAACTCACGCAGGTCTATGGGTTGCGCAAGACTGCGTACACCCCATATTCACATGCGCGCACCCTTTGATTCAACGGGATTAGCGGCTGGAAGGCGGACTTGGAGGCGTAGTCAAGACTAGAGAATGATCAGAGAGCACGCCCGCGAGAGAGACGCAGGCTGCCGCGGGCGCGAGCGGTCGTCTTTCAGCCGCCAACCCGTTAAATCAAAGTGTACGCCGCGTAAGCCGCGTAGTTTGGCCCAACTCTATCTTGATACTATTGGACAGCGAGCATTCCCACTGTATCCTTTAAAGGCCTGACCATAAAAATTTGATTTGCTACATTTCACATAGATAAAGGCAACATACTATGGAATAATTGCAGAATCATAAATGCAGTATTTTACAGTATCTCTTTGCCTAAAACACATCGCCCACACTAGCAGGCTACATCTTAGTAAATCTCACAAGTACAAGACACCCTTTTCATTTTTTGAGCAAACAGCTAGGCCGAACCATTGTTTCGGAAAGCGATCCTTATGCCGCAAATGCTCGTAGGCAATATGCAGTACGGTATAGGGTTCTTTGATCACAGAGTCGTTTGGCGTGTCGAGCTGGACGATCTTGAAAATCAGGTGCATCCTGTACCCGTGAAATTAGAACAAATTTAACGCACGAATCCCTCAACGTTGTACTACAGCCGCAGACTCCACGTTGATGAAACTTGGAAGAACTTAATGCTATTATAGTACTATCCTCGTTGAAGAATGTAAATTGCAGTGGCGACCTAGGATTTTCATTCGGGTGGAGGGGAAGGGGGGCCTTCTCTCGGTGCGCCACTGGTAGATTGATATCATTGAGAGATGCAAAACTAACATTAAGTTTTGCATTGCGCTCGCACGCGATCTAGAAGAGACTCTAGCAACCATGAACAGCGCCACCCAAAATCCAAGCTTCACTGTCACTATAATATGAAGTCTGTGAGGCATCGCATGTGGAGCCACTAGGTGCCTGCTTCACCAAAGTCGTACCGAAAGAGGAAAACATCTCTGCACACCGAGAGAGGAAACAAGTCTCCCGTCTAATAAAATCCAAACGTCGCCAGCTTATTCAGACGAGCTCCACCCATTCACACTATTGCTCATATGCCGTTGGCGTTTTTCACATGGCAAATACCATTTGAGGCATGCTATTTCCATGTTCTCCATTTTGCAACAAATAGGAAAAAACTTTTTTCTTGGAGTTGAGCATGACTGCGCCGCGTATGTACTAGTGTACGCGACGTACGCTGTTATGATGAAACATACCAAGCGTACCCTGCCTACGTGGCGTACGCCGCTCTTCCAGCGTGCTCTGGCCCAACCCCCCTTGGACATCTTTCAAGAATTGCATGGGCGAGTTAAGCTGTTGGTTCGTGCGTCGGCTGCAATGTCAAAGATGCCAGCGCCTGTTGGATGCCCTGTACATGTCGCATATGCCGTGCATTAAAGTATGGTGGAAATCTGCTGAGTGTGCGGGCGGGAAAGCGTACAATCTGCCACAATCCTAATCAGGCTAAATTGGCACGGCGGAAGTCCGTGTCGAGGGTATTGCGTCACGTCTAACGGCTAGTTAGTCTGCTCTCTCCTCAATCTCTTCGCTCTCAGCAACAGCGCGTATGCAGCGCGAGCCCCTAGCGCAGCAAGCGCGCATGTTCAGCGCAGGGTTGTTCGGCCTTATCCCAATTGGAGCAGTCTATAGGTGTTTCGCGTAGTGCCGGCGCCGCAATTGAAGCCCAATTCTGGCGCTTTGAAAGCAGTGGCTCGGCAGATCCTTGACCCAATCCAACGCATTGATTCCGAAATCCATGAGAGCACGAACATGACAGGAACCAGCTCGTCCGAGCGCGTATAAGAATGGCTTGCACGCACGGGTTTGGGGGCAGATTTCTTGGCAGGAGCAGCATGCTGTGCGCTCGGGCTTGCTCTGTTTTCATATAGGGGATGTAAGAGACCTAACACACTAATTCTGAGATGGTCAATCTTGCCAAGCCACAACCTTCAAGGTTTTAGCCGGGAAACTTAGGCCATTGCTTACTAGAGAGCCTCAGATTTTGATTTACTCAGCTTCAGAAGTTTGGTTCTGCCGAGGCATTACGTTTAAGTCTGGGAAAGCCATACATTATTGTAGGCAGTGACATGTGACTTGGGTTTTCACATCGAGATTGGGAATTTTAACCAAGCCAACGGCCAAGCAGCAACTACGGATCATTTGTGGTTGAGAACTACAACTCTAATTCTAGCCCAAACCGTACTGCGAACCAACTATGCTGTTCTAGTACGGTACTGGACGAGAGTAGGTCTTGATTGTTTTGGCCATGAATAGATCATTTAATCTACCATTTAGAAACTGAAACTCATAATTAGATTCGACCCAAAAAGTTCAAGTAGGTCAGTTATGTTTGGATACTGCCTTGATGAGAATATAAACAGCAGCATCGAACGAAAAAAAGTGCAACCCAGATTTCATCTACGAGAAAATTCAGTGTGAATGTCTGTGCGATTATTCTCGCTGACATTTCAAAGCGTTTGGCCATTGAATGTCCATTTGCAATTCTATCCATGAACCGGTTAAGCGATCAATCATCAAATGCGCAGATTTTATAGACCATGCAATGTGACAGCCAAGTTTCTTTTGGGGTGTCTAGACTAGGCTAATGTTTTGAGTACTGTGGTGATTGAGAAATTACATAATGGTCCGTCATCCATGCTAACAAGGTCCATAGCAAATCGTAACTAGATCTCATACTCTAATGAAGTCCAATAGCACAAATTTTGCCATAAACAAGAATATGGCATAACAATAGCAGCGCACTAATTGAAAATTTTGCAAATTATTGCTTAGTGTTTTGACCCCGATTTTGGAAGAGTTTGCACTGTAGCAGAAATTTTAACTTTATAAAAAGAAGAATTAGACGAATCACATACATTAACCGTGACAGTCCAACCCAAAGAAATTGTTCTTGAATCTCCAATTTCTTTATAATCGAACGACTAGGGGAAAATGAGGCATTCAGTTATTCTATGCCAACAAATTATCTTGCGCCAAAATAGGACACTTTCTCGCGGAATCGTTCGAGGGTACTTATATTCTGGTGTTCTTTGATCATATGGTTTATGAAGTTCTGTTTTACAAGCAGAAATAGGGAAATATATGGTTTATAAAGGTTTTTCACGGGAGATGTGTTTGAACTAGAAAGAAATATCTCTG